TCACAAAGACGAGAGATGGCGAATATACAGCAGTAGAAGGACGAACATACAGCAGTACAAGTAATTTTTTATCCTTAACTGCAGTGTATAACACAGTATCATATGCAAAAAGAAAAGCGGCGCCGGTGGTGTAGTGGTAAGCGTGATTGCCTCTCACCCCAGTAGGCCTGTGTTCAATCCCAGTTGGCGCCGCCGGGATGTTCTGAGGCATAACATCTCTGATCACGGCTTCCTTCGGAAGGGTAGTAATGCCGTTGGTCCCCAGTTCATAAGTTGATGGGTCGATAGGTAGGGTCCAGGTGTGGAAGCTGCCTCCCTGGCGTCGGTAGCATTGGTGCTCAGCACGGAAATCAAGATCGACGGAAAACAAATCAAGAAAAAAAAAATCTGTAAAAAGATTAATGTCGCAAAATCATAAAACACGTCGCAGATCATTAATATACATAATAAATAAAAGGGGCCCTAAAACATTTCAATGGGTTACTCCATAGTTATTGCCCACGGGACTGGAAACAAAATCATTAAAAACAATCCGTTGATTTCTGTCAGATAAATAGTTTTCAAACAATTTATATGCAAGTTACCACCATGACACGGTACACTAGCATCGAAGAATGTCGCGACCCAGTGCACCGAGCCGCGAACACATTTCATGCTGGAATCAGCATATAGGATGGTAGTTGCTAGGTACAAGGTTCAGCTAGGGTAAGCATATTTATAGGTCCGATCGTGTGATCGATGTAATTAATCGTTACAAATAAAATCAGTTCTAGTTTTGACTCCGTATGGAGAAGTTGAATCTTTTTTAAAAAATCTCTTCGAACGTCTTCGAACGTAGCTTGCAGTATTCGTTATTCTAAAGCTCTTGATTGCTCTTAACAATAAGGTTCTAGAAATTATTTCAAAAGCGCGTTTTAGTTTAAAAAAACAGCAAAAATTGTATCTGCTGTACGTTACTTTTCCATTTCGCTTATTCATAATTCAACGCGGTTTCACAAGCATGACCTTCCCGATTTCCCGATTGTTCTGGCATCAATAAATTATTAATATTTAAATGTTCCAACAGCTGGTCTTTCACAACAAGTTCTAATTTTTTTCTAATGAGTGCAACGGGAGCGGGAAATTTAGCCGAATTGGTCATTTCGCCCATGAGCAAGCCATATTTTACGAGGTTGAACTTTTCTCAAATCTCAGTAAATTTGTAAATCAGTGTCGAAAAAAGATTAACAAGGTTCGAAATTTTCAACCTGGTAAGTTATTTAAATGTAATGCTTCTTTCTTTTGAACATGAGCAAAACTTTTAAATTTAACTGATTTCAGAAATTTTCAAATAATAGATACATATTTTTCATTTTTAGGAATGCTTCCTTCTTTAAAACATGAGCAGTTCTTTCGAATTGCTTTACATGGGAATATCTATTATTTAAATGCCCTCCAAACACATTTTAATTGTAAAGGCTAACGAAACGTATTGGTACGCCCCTCGCGCCTTGCTAGCACGCCTCTAGTGTTGGGAATCGAAAATCTTTGACAGCGGTTTGTTTTCACTTCTATAGTAGAATCCAAGTGAAATTTATGCATCACTAGTAGCGGGAAATAGTACTAGTCGATGGTGATCAATTTATGACAGCCGGTTCATATTGCAGAGCTGGAATGATAAATTATTAAAAAAAAAAGTTCAAAATAGTGAGATACGAATTTTCATTGCACTGTGATAGAAAGTTAATGAAAATGCGTTTTTTGATGCACCGGTATTATTTAGGTTATGTTTTGTATGACTGCAGATTTCCATCCCGAAATTTATGTCCACGTCTGCTGGATATACTGGATTATGTTGGGACTCCATGAGACCTATACGGTAAAAACTAGCGGTTTTAGAGACCCAGCATATTGTGTGCCTGGGCTACACCAGTAGAATGGGTTTGTGCTGCAAAGTTCCCATCCCGAGGAGCGGCCACTTGAAATTAATCTCAAATTACCCAACGACAACAAACTTTGGAACTTATATTCAACAAAATCTGCTTCAACCAAATGATGGAGCATATTCGCTCTGTCCCTGTAAACAGTGACAACCTTTCTCCACTGCGCGAATTTGTTGTTCCCCGTCTTCGGAACCCGAAAAAGTTGAAATTTGTTCTCGTTGCATTCCGGGATAATGCAACGATCTTGCAACAGCAATGATAATGTTAAGCGGTGGTGCTTAACGTTTTAAAAAGAAATCAACTATTTTCCTGATTGCAAGCAGTAATATCAACCGGTGAAAACTAACGATTTGAAATTGGCTCACTACTTGACTAGCCTATTGGTTCCAAGCAAATCGATTAACGCACTCCATTCTAGTCAAAATTCTAGTACTACACAATGTTTGTTTTGATTCACAATAAAAGTTTGACAGATAAAATGAGGGGTTATTCGATTTTCCTATGTTTAGAGGGGTGAATCGATTAGCTTGGGACCGAAGATAGTACCAGAGCTGAGCCAAAAAGTTGAGCACGTTTCTTCGGGACCTACTAGTCTTAGAGTTACCTCTATGGTAATATCAGTCAAGTAGTGAGCCAATTTAAAATCGTTAGTTTCGTATTGATTGTTGGTAATATCATTGAAGTCATTTGCCATTTTGAAGAAGGCTACTTTTCCTACAATTTTGCAAGCTTCTTGATCACCAAAAACGTACAAAACAAGGCAAATATCCAATTTAAAAAGAGAAAATTCTGATATGAGTCATGTTTGACAGATGTTTAACATTTTTATCACCGCTACGAAAACAGCGCCACTGGTGGCCGGTGGTTGTTGAATTTCACTATAGAGAACAACTTGTGCAAGTTTGATCAAAATAGTGGATCGCGTTCAGAAATAACGTCAAATGGAACTCGAAAGAATAAAAAATATTGTGCACAAACACCTGGAAAATCCGGAGTGGTCCGGTTCCAAGCTAGCTAAAGTTCTGAAGATGCCAAAAACAATAGTTTGTCGAGTGCACAAAACCTACAAGGAAAACCTGGATGTGGAAAGGAATCAGCGGACCTACGAAAAAACAGGGACCATGGATCGTCAGCTGCAAAGCAAGGTGTTGAGGTGCGTTAATGACAACCCCGGTTTTTTGATTCGAGATGTGGCCAGAAGGTACAACGCCAACTTTCAAACGGTGCAGAACATCCTTACCAGGGAAGGATACATGTCTTACAAAGCCAGTAAACATCCGAACCGGCACATGAAGCAGAATTCCGTGCTCAAAAAGCGTGCGAGGGCAAAACACAAGGGCTGCACTTTGATCGATGACGAAACATACATCAAACTCGAATTTAAGCAGCTTCCCGGTCAAAAGTTTTACATCGCGACTGGACGTGGGGATGTGCCAGGTAGATTCAAGTTCGTGTTTTCCGACAAGTTCGCGAAGAAGGCCATGATTTGGCAAGCGATTTGCAGTTGTGGCCTGAAAACGGAACCATTCGTCATATCCTCGACGATGACATCCCAAGTTTACATCGAAGAATGCCTGAAAAGGCGTGTATTGCCGTTCATCCGCAAGCATAGGAGCAAAGTCATCTTTTGGTCTGATTTGGCCAGCTGCTGTAAGGTGGTTCTGGAGAGGTATGCTTCCAACAAGATCGATTTTGTCCCCAAGTTAATTAATCCTACGAAATGTCCGGAATTTCGACCAATCGAAAAATACTGAATACTGAATACTGAATCACGAATTACAGGTCTTTTTGTGCGTACCAATTTACTTTTAGTCAGCCTTTATATTAATTCATCATTAAAATTCGGTGAAAAGACCCATTCTGTGAAATGCCCATTCGACGAAACCTTCTCCTTCCAAATTTGTGGCACATGTCCAGTCTGCAATGATTCATTAATAAAGTCTTGGCCAATGATATGAAAGCAATATAGGTCATGAGCAAGCGATCAAACGTGTTACAATCTTTTAAAGAGACTGAAATTTTCTCCATCCAGCATAAAAACAAAAATTTCACATAGCCACTAGCTATTGTTTAATTTCCCCCTCAAGATTTTCAGAAGTGAGAGTGAAAAAAGCTTAAATTATCATTTGTTCCGGTTTTATTGAAGCATGAAAATATTCAAAATTAAGCATCACTCTGGAATAGGTCTAATTCATATTAAATTAGTAGGTCTAAACACAAGCTGATTTTCTATGTGTATCGATATTTTGCAGTGCTAAATTCGACTTACTGTTTTAATCAAAATCACTAAATTCGACAAACTGTTAAAATCAAATCTTGTAGGGGTTGGGATCAGTGGGTAGTTAATTATCGATTTTTAATTGATTACAGTTCGTCTTAAATATGATATTCCACTGTTTGCCAACCTAATTTATTATATCTGATTAAAATTCAGTTAAGCGCTGTCCCTGTACATGCAAAACCAAAAAAACTAACAATCTTGTTCCAAGATCAAACCTTCGCATCGCCGTTAATTTGATCGTTTCCACCGATCGCACAGCCTACATTGTTCGACAACCCACGAGACGGTGGAAAAATAAAACAAAATCAAGCGAAATTGTGAAAATTATTTTCAAAATTAGAACACCTCGTAGGCGAGCGCGATTTTTATCCCGCAATTTTTCCTGTGCCGCACAGAATCCATCATGAAAAAAAAAAAAATGTTTGCATGATTTTTTCCCTCCGCACCGAGTGGATCGACGGAAAAAGTTTCCCACAGCCACCGACCGACATTAAAATAGCAAAATTTTCAGTGTTCTGAGTTTTCCCGAACGGAATTTTCGCAACATTTTCCCTCGGAAAATGGATTCTTCCCCTTGGAATGTGACCGTGTGCGTAAGGAGGGGAAGTTTGTCCGACACGCACACCATCGGAAAGATCGATCGAAACCGATTGGGTGGTTCAGGGGAAACTCGTGCCTTGGGGTGCGATTTTCGAGGGCTAAAATTAGGTTTTTCCCAACTTCGGCGACTCGTGCCCGGTGACGTCATGGCGCGAAAAGTTGCGAACCGTGGTCTCGGAAATGCCAGGCTGTGGGTGTAGTGGTAGTGCCCGAGCGTTTTTAGGGTCAATCGGACGTTTTAACGTATTGCACTACTCAGTGCTATCGTGTTTTTAGTCTTGCGAGGATTTGAGTGAAAGCGCTCAGGTTGGTTGTTTTCTTCAGGAGTCGAGTGTAATACAAAATTTAGGGAATTTTCTGCTGGTTTTGACGTGAGATTTTTTTTTTAAAATAGAGTATAGGTAAAATTTAATTTGTTTTTGGTTGCTTAAAAATACAGAAAAATGTGAATTGTTTAGGGATGTGCAAATTGGGGTCACTCCAGGATTCTCCAGTGGGATATCCTGAGGTGCTGAGGCAGTGACGTAAGCAACTGTCATTGCAGTGACTCATGGTGATGTGACTCATGGTGGAAAGATATAGATCTGTAGATTGACAAAGTCAAGGAATTTGTTTCTTTTTATTGGAAGATGTTAATAATGAAGAATTTTGATAAATGGTGCAAAAGAATCTAAAATTAAACACACAATCGGTTGATTGTCTCAGGATTATATCTGATTAAATAATATAAGCTGTAAGTGAGAAAAGTTTTAAAATAGATCCGGTTCTTTAAAAAATGAAACGAGCTGAATGAAGCAATAAATTAGCGAAAATTTTCCCGAGTGGGTGGCTGTCAGTGGATCCGTGTATGCCCGTGTGTCAGTGCGTATGGGAGGAACAATGAGTGGCTGTGGATTGACAAGCATAGTGCGCCTGCGCCGCTGACGACATGACACAAGGAGTTGCGCATAGGCATTCAGCGACCTCGGAGTTCATTGGCTACTTTTATGGTTCGGAGCGCAACTACAGAGCATCCAACGGCCGTAATCTCTTCTGCTTTGCTATCTATGCAGAGCAGACTGAGCTCGTGTTCTAAATTTAGGAACGGTACGCGCAGGTCGACGTATGCGCAAAGGCAATCGAGGCCACCGAAGGAAAAGCTAACATATTTGCGTGAAGAAGAATTCAGACGAATACAAACATCCCAGCGGAAACAGATGGTCGTATTACTCACACACGCACACACTCACACCGACACGCACACCTTCACAAATACGCCACCCCGTTCGCATTGCACACCGCTCCTGTGTGGGTCGGAAAACGAAGATTTCCCCTGCTTTTGAAATTTTCTTTCGTTTTTTGAGGAAAAAAAATGGGAGCAAACTGGTGCCTACACCTACACAAATTCTTGTGAGTCGATTTTCATCGAGAATGATAAAAATAGACTTTCGGCGGACGCACATAGCCACTGGAGATTTCCTTGGAATGAAGCACACACCGTAAACACACACTGTAGACACCTGCTGATGGCGCCTTTGGTGCGGCTGACTTTTATTTCTGCGGTTCTATGAACTATTCGGGGATTGAGTGGCGCGTGACCTATGGCAAAGCAAATTTTAGAGAAACATGGTCAAATGATTATTCATATTTAATGGCAGCTGAACTGATTTGGGATCGCTATTGGTAGAGGAACAATATCTAATGAATTCCATCGCCACTTTTAATTAATGGCAACCTGATTGCAAAGCTTTGGCCAAAAATTAATTATGATATGAGCGAGGCTTATTTTTCTTTGAATATTTGACGGGAGAAACTATACGGATTCCTTTAGAAAGAATGTTTCATAAGTTATGAGGATAACGTACTTTGAGCAAATACAATTCTGTGGTGAAAAAAAAACTTTTTCTGACCGATTTGAACTTAAGTGAAGTTTAAATACCTTACATAGGAGAAATGGCTCTAATGTTGACCTATAGATCTAAGATTAGGCCCATCGCTAAAAATCTGCTATTTATCAATTTTATCTAGATGAACGTGTCATTGGGACGTTACTTATGGATATTTTTGGTCGCTATTGAAAATATAGTCGATTGCTGAATTTATGTATGGGCCCAAATTAGGGGCACGTAGGCCGACATGTAAATCCATTTCCTCTATTAATTTATCAAAAACTGCATGCGAACTTGAGGTTCAACTAGAGCGAGCTCTGAATCTTCATTATTCTTTACCAGTTTTATGCTTGGGAGAACTAATGTTTCTGCATTACACAGGATAACACAAATGATATTGTAAAGTTTCAAACCAAGTGTACCTAGTAAATTCTACGTATCTACGACCTAAAATGATGCAAAATGTTATTGCGCCTTTTGCGCCACTTGATTTCTGTAAAATAAAATAATTACGCACTAGTCAGAAAACTTAAAAAAAAAAATATTTTAAAGCAGTAGCAGCTTTAGAACAGTATTGGCAAGCTGCAATAATTAATTGGAGCTCTATAAAAATTGAAGAAGTTCAATTTTTAAATGTTAAAACCAGTGCGAAAATATTACTGTGTACTTATTTTTAGCACTTGATTCCTGTGAGGTAAGGAATCTGCAATACAGTTATGAGATACTGATTTTTGAAGTTGGCAAATCTGACTTCTTTTTGTTATGTTTCACAACTGACTTCTTTTTGTTATGTTTCACAGGTTCTTTATTTAGTTCTGTAGTTCCTGTTGAAAAAAAAAAGAATTCTTGCTAAATCGGAGGCAAACCAGCTTCAGGCTGAAAGCCTCCCTAATAAAGAAACTCCTTGCTAAATCAATACAAACAGTCTTGATGGTAATTTTGAATCCACTTTTAAAAAATAAGCCAATCTTAACCCATCAGCGACTAGATCACAACCTGGATTCAGATCTATACCCAGTTGTCTTGTGTTGTCTAAGGTTTGAACATGCATTTTGTAGAGTCAATTTTAATGAAGAGTCAACATTCGAACATTATGAACATTCTCTTTAATTTATTCACTAAAATTTCTACTCAATTAATTGTTGTGATCTGAAGTGGCAAATTTGGTAGCCGTCATGTGATAATAACAAATCAAACAACAAAGACAAAGCAGTCATTATAATTATGTTATTCGTTAGACATAACATTTTATAGCTTTTTAGTTGCCTATAAAAGCATAACTGTCTCATTTATACTTGATTTTTTATTCATATGTGAGTAGTTAAGATGAAATATCTATTTAATTCGAGCAGCTTAACATTACATTTACTACTACTTGATCTTTTCAATAAAACATCTTGAGATTATTTTTTCAAGAACTGCGAGAAAAATAGCCGACATTTGTGTCATTCCCAAAAAATAGTAATTTGTTGGTCCAGTTTTCGCAAATTGTTGGCAGCAAATCAGATCAGAGTGGTCCATGAGAACAAGCAACCGTATGCCTGCCCGTCGAAAGTAACTTAAAGGCTGAGTCAAGATGACCCACTCTCTTTTTATCCCATACACATTTTACTCAGTTTCGTAAAAAGTGGAGCAGTACAGTTACTCGTAGCACTGAGTAGCTCCACTTTACGAAACTGAGTAAAATGTGTATTTGAAAAAAAGAAAGTGAGTCATGTACTTTTACTATTTGTTTGCATTACTTCTGCGTGAAGTTAACGATTTACATAATTGAAGATGCTAATTTCAAATAATTTAGTCTGTTATTGGTTATGTGGTATTTTTTATAAGATAGATGAGGAGATGAAAGAATAGAGTTGATAGTTCTGTTAGAGAACGGCTGTGTGAAAATTGTATATAGAGAGTAGAGAGCGAGCAAGGCGACTTTGAGGAAGGTAAAAATCGGGTTGATCATCTCTCTTTACTAAATTCCCCCATTGGAGAGGGATGGTAAGGGTATCCCCCCACCACCACTGGGAAAAAAAGAACTATTCAATCTATACTTTCATCTCTTCATCTATTGTATAAAATGACCACTTATTTGAAACTTGGCATCTTCAATTATGTAAATCGTTAACCTACACACTTAGATTATTTTACCGAAATCTGTGAAATTTTACCGAAATCTCAACAGCTGAACGTTCGGTAAACAGTTCGGTGATTTTTCACAGATTTCCTGTAATTTTTCACAGATATTCGGTGAAAAATTACAGAAAATCTGTGAAAAATTACCGAACTGTTTACCGAACGTTCAGCTGTTGAGATTTCGGTAAAATTTCACAGATTTCGGTGAAATAATCTTAGTGTGTAACTCAGGCTCTGAGTTACTGACGGGCGTGTATAATCGATTGAGTGAATATATTTGTATTTATTCAGGAGTTCCACCATATTAGAAACCAAATGAAAAAATACGAAGAAGATAGAAACAAATGAGCTTGTTGTTGCTATTTTCACATCACGCGCTCTGTCATGACAAAGAAATGAAGGATATTTTGACGAAAATCCTTGTTACCGTCATTTCATCCAATGACAGTAACAGAAACATCATATATGCAAAAATCTCGTTGAATAATACATTGAAAACGACATTTGCCAGCCTTGGATGTGACATCTCTCAATCGCATTCAATTCTACAGATTTTTGGTGGTTTTTAGATTACCTTAGCTTAGACTGACTGCACATATCAATAGTTGTTACTGCGTGATTGATCCATACCAGTGAAATTTCACAATGAATCAACTAAATGACTGGCTAGGAGCAGTCGTTAATTCTCACTGTACACACAGCAAAAAAATAATTTTGATATCACATCAAAGTGGATGCACTACAATCATGTCGAAAATTTCATGTAATTTTTATGACCACATAAATAAACAAATGCAATAAAAGCAGCGTAATGTCAGTTCATGCATTGTATTAATGATAATTTTGTCCTTTTTAGCAAGTAATATTACACCATATTTTCGACATGATTGTAGTGCATCCACTTTGACGTGATATCAAAATTATTTTTTTGCTGTGCAGCTTTCGGTAAATTTAAATATAGGAATGAATAACGGCGCTGGCCATCTAGCCAGATCAGCTTTTAGCTAGATAAGCGTTTATTATAGGGGTTGGAACCAGTTCCAACTCAGTGCCAAACCGAACTTTTCGTCATTGCAAACCTCAACCTGAGGTAGGGTTTAAAAAAAAACGATCAAACAGACGTTTATCATAAAATAGGCAGACCCAATCTTGATACCCGATCCAGGTTGGAACTGAATAATAAACGAATTCGCTATTAGTTTCACGTACCCATTCACACATTGTAGATGTATCCTTCTTCTTCTTCTTCTTCTTCTTCTTCGCTTTTCAAGCTTATTGCATATCGCATAGTAGCTTATTGCGTGTTCTCAACTTAGTGTTCTAGATGCACATCCACAGTTATTAATTGAGAGCTGGGTTCAATTCCCGGTCCGGTCTAGGAATTTTTCGGGTTGCAAAATATCTCGACTTCCCTGTACCATTTATGCATTGGTATAATTGTGTGGCAAGTCCAATCATAGAAGTATGATTGGACTTGCCACACACTTATACCAATACAAAAATGGTACAGGGAAGTCGAGACATTTTGCAACCCGAAAAATTCCTAGACCGGACCGGGAATTGAACCCAGCCACCTCCAGCATGGTCATGCTTTGTAGCTGTGCCTTTACCGACTGAGCTAAGGGAGGCCTAAGGCAGACCACTTTTTTTTTCCGATCACGGAAACGCCTCGTTTTCTGATGAAAAAATTACACATTTTTTGAATATTTGGTTTATTCAATAGATAATAAACAAAGCGAAAATTGATTGGAGGAATTTCTCGCTAAATATTTTCCAATCGCGAGATATTCGAGATTTTTTTGGTTTTTTCTAGCGTAATTCGAAGTGTTTCTCGTTAATTGACAAGCTCATGTCGGTCATTACGAGGATTTGTATGTACCACTTCAATGCTGTTACGCATTTGACCACAAAAGTTTGGTTGCTGGGTACATTCTCAAACAGCTTTGGGGGTGATGTTGTTGGCAGCAGGGCAAGCAAGAGTTTCACACTTAAACAACAATAATTTATGGTTGTCTCGAAAAGAACCATTTTGTCGTGATGGTTGAGTAATGCTGAGCTATTAGGGTATTCAACACAGATGAGGCTAGCGAGCTGTACGTTGTTTGAAATGAGGGTGACGCACTTGGCATAGATGGCCCACATCGACTCACGAATATCTACTGAATCCGATCAGTAGCGGTGCGGCTTCTTCCTCCATCTTCGGTGAATGGACGCTCATGTGGGCTGCAGCTCGTTGCTTTAGGGCAGCCCTTCGTTGTGTACTGGAGAATACAGGAGAACACTGCTGCTGATGATGACGACCAATCGAACACCACAACATACAGTGATTGAATAAGCACCGTTAAGCGAGATCGGATGGAATTCGATTTTGAAATCTGTTTCAGGGCAAACGCTTTTTGCAGGCAATCGGTGATAATTTTGATCACCACTGCAACAGTTGGACATTTGTGTAATTTTCAATAGTGATCTATTGAAAATTGATAATGTTTTCATTTTAGCAGATTCGTAGAAAATTTATAATCGATTTGCATGTTTAGAATTCAAATCCATTCGCTGTTGACAGAGTTATAAGTGGTCAAAACCAGACCACTTTTCGTAGCCCGGTCGATTTTTTTTTTTTTTAATTGAACCGTTGAATATGTTGCCGAAAATCTTCCCATTAAAATAGTTGATCAAAATATATTCAATTGCAAATTTACTCTTGTATGCATTTGATTTGACAGAACCAGAGAACCAAGTTTATCGGGGTACATTGGCGTTACTCTGGAGCTGTCAAGTTGATGCCAGTGTGTTGGAATGAGAAGGGAATGCTAGAGCGTAAGATCACGGATGGGAAATTTGGATAGAGGTTTATGTTTGTATGATCAGAATTCGCTTTGATAAGTGTTGTGATTATTGTTTTTCATACAATGTGCTTTTATTTTTCTGATAATTAAAATAAATTTTAAATAAATCAGTGACATCATAAAATATTCTTAGCGGTGCCGGTGGTGTAGTGGTAAGCGTGATTACCTCTCACTCCAGCAGGCCTGGGTTCAATCCCAGTCGGCGCCGCCGGGATGTTCTGAGGCATAACATCTCTGATCACGTCTTCCTTCGGAAGGGAAGTAAAGCCGTTGGTCCCCAGTTCATAAGTTGATGGGTCGATAGGTAGGGTCCAGGTGTGGGAGCTGCCTTCCTGGCGTCGGTAGCATTGGTGCTCAGCACGGAAAACAAGATCGACGGAAAACAAACCAAAGAAAAAAAAAAAAAAAAAAAAAAAAAAAATATTCTTGAATTTGCATGAAATGAATCATTATATTATGAATCGTAAGATGATCCATCATTGAAAAGCTGAATTCAATTTAATGAAATAATTTAAACTAATAGATCCAGCCAAAACGAAGGCTGCATAAAATTAATAAATATAATATAAGCGGAAATGCCTGTGTCATCAGCGAACAAAGATTTGTGGCAACCCTGAGGCAAATCAGGGAGGTCCGACGTGAAAATATTATACAATATAGGCCCAAGAATGCTACCCTGAGGAACTCCTGCTCTAAAAGGTAGTCGTTCGGATTTGGAATTTTGATAATTTACCTGCAGAGTTCTGTCAATAATTATGAGCTGATTTCATAATATAAAGTGGAAAATTAAACTTTTTCAATTTAGCAATCAAACCTTCATGTCAAACACTGTCGAATGCTTTTTCTATGTCTAGAAGAGCAACTCCAGTTGAGCAGCCTTCAGATTTGTTTGAACGAATTAAATTGGTAACTCTTAAGAGTTGATGAGTAGTTGAATGCCCATGACGAAATCCAAACTGCTCATCTGCAAAAATTGAGTTCGTATTCATGTGAAGCATCATTCTATTTAAAATTATCTTTTCAAAAAGTTTACTTTTTGAAGAAAGCAAACTTATTGGACGGTAGCTGGAAGCTTCAGCTGGATTTTTATCTAGCTTCAAAATTGGAACAACTCTAGCATTTTTCCATTTATCAGGAAAGTATGCCAAATGGAAACATCTGTTGAATAATTTTACCAAGAAAGACAAGGTACTCTCTGGAAGTTTTTTGATGAGGATATAGAAAATTTCATCATCACCTGCAGCTTTCAGATTATGAAACTTTTTAGTTATAGACCTTACTTCGTCCAAATCAGTCCCCCAGGAATCATCAAAAATATTTTCCCGAGAGAAAATATTCAGATAATCCCGAGCAACCTGATTCTCAATAGGACTAGTAAGACCCAAACTGTTTCTGAGCTTTTTTTTAAATTTGTGATCAAAATTTTACCACCTTCTGGGAGCGCTGGAATAGGCTTTTGAGATTTTTTCAAAAATTTTGTGAGTTTCCAAAAGGGTTTGGAACTCTGGTCTGATTTAGTTTCATTATTTTCAAAAGTTTTGTTCCTCAGGGCAGAGAATCGCTTTTTAATTTGTTTTTGCAAATCCCGCCAGATAACTTTCATGGCAGGATTGCGTGTTCTTTGATATTGTCTCCTACGGACATTTTTAAGACGGATCAAGAGCTGAAGATCGTCGTCTATTATAATTGAATCGAATTTAACCTCGCATTTTGGTACTGAGGCAGTTCTTGCTTCAACTATAGAAGTAGTCAGAGATTCAAGAGCATAATTAATTTCATCAAAATGTTCGATATTGCTCCCAATCAGCTCGATGGTAATTGAAAGTAGAGCTGTTGGGATTACAAATTATTTCTAGGGATATTAAGAAGTATCTTGAAATGTAGCTCTGCATCTTTTGAAATAGTCACCAGAATTTTGATTAAGCTAGTATTACACAACCAAATTCTAACATACCGATTTTTTTTATAATCGGATTATGCCTTAAACAAAGTTGTAGAGCTATTAATTTTAAGAAATTTTGCTCAAGGCAACATTTCTACATCTTAACCCTAAGGAGATATACAATCAACTCTCCACTACTCGATGTCCACTAGTTCGATATTGAGTTATAGAACTATAGTAAAAATTGCCTTCATGGATACTATGATAGATATTGTATGGGATTGTTATTCTTAATATAACTCGATGATCATCCCTTCAATATCACGTTGTAAAGAGTTCACTGGTTTTTCCTAGGACCACCTTAAAATTGGTTTTTTAGTTACTTATAATTTTATTAATATATGATCAATCCAACATGTTATAGATAGTTTTAGATAACATCTAAAAAAGCAACTTTTCTGAAAACACCAAATATTTTTGATGACACCAATGTTCTCTACAGTGAATTATATAAAATATATTTTTGAAAAATGTGAATGCTTGTGAATCAACTATTAATGTAAGTAAATTGGTCATAGTTTCAAGCATAAGCATACACAATATTGAAATCAGGACTCCGCGAGTACACTGGAGTCGCTTTTTACGCGGGTGATACGTGCCGCGTAAAAAAACCGCGTGAATTCCGAAATTTCTGAAATCCGCGTAAAAAAACGCGTAAAAAACCGTGTAAAAAAACCGCGCTAGCAACGACTCCAGTGCATAACGATAATCCACGTAAATCTCGAAATCCGCGTAAAAAAACCGCTTAAATTCCGAAATCCGCGGAAAAAACCGCGTAAATTCCGAAATCCGCGTAAATGACGAAATTCGCGTAAGTAAAACCGCGTAAAAAACCGTGTAAAAACCGCGTAAAAGCAACTCCAGTATACATCTATTTTGATGCTACTTAAATCATCGCCATTTACTCATCATTTATAATATCTACGGCTCTCATTTTCAAGGACCCGGTTCTCAACCTTAGTAATAATCGTAAAATGGTGTTAAAGCGTATTGTTTCACAGGAAAGATACTTCCAACTGAATCGTAATAAAACCAGCAGAAAATCGTAAATTTTTGTATCAATATACTCAGCCCAATACACAATCCTTACCGGCCGTACTAAACGTCCCATTTTCTTTTTTCTCTTTCCAGCAACCACCGTAGTGTTTGTTCTTTTTCTTGGAAGGCCGGAGTAACAGACAAATCCATCCACCATGGACGCGATTAAGAAGAAGATGCAGGCGATGAAGCTGGAGAAGGATAATGCCGCCGACAAAGCCGATACCTGCGAGAACCAGGCCAAGGAGGCCAACCTCCGTGCCGACAAGATCATGGAGGAGGTCGCTGAGCTGACCAAGCGTCTGACCCAGGTCACCGAGGATCACGAAAAGTTCAAGAACACCCTGGAGCAGGCCAACAAGGACCTCGAGGAGAAGGAGAAGAACCTGACCTCCACCGAGGCCAACGTTGCTTCTCTGACCCGCAAGGTCCAACAGGTTGAAGAGGATCTGGAAAAGTCTGAGGAACGCTCGGGCGCTGCTCTGTCCAAGCTGCTGGAAGCCACCCAGTCCGCTGATGAGAACAACCGGTTAGAATGACTCCAATGTCTTATTTATGGTAACGTGTTTGAAAGAAACTCATTTCAAAAAATTTCCCTTACAGTATGTGCAAGGTATTGGAGAACCGTTCCCAGCAGGATGAAGAACGTATGGATCAGCTGAGCAACCAGCTGAAGGAAGCCCGTATGCTCGCTGAAGATGCTGACGGCAAATCTGATGAAGTGTCCCGCAAGCTGGCCTTCGTTGAAGATGAGCTGGAAGTCGCTGAAGATCGTGTCAAGTCCGGTGAGGCCAAGATCATGGAGTTGGAAGAAGAGTTGAAGGTACGGTGTTATATTCATCGGAGTCTTACTCAGAAAGTATTTACTAATCAAATCTACTTCCGGATAGGTTGTCGGTAACTCGCTCAAGTCTCTGGAGGTCTCGGAAGACAAGGCCAACCAGAGAGTCGAGGAATTCAAGCGCCAGCTGAAGTCCCTCACCATCAAGCTGAAGGAGGCCGAAACTCGTGCCGAGAACGCCGAGAAGAACGTCAAGAAGCTCCAGAAGGAAGTCGACAGACTAGAAGGTACGTTGAGGGAATCGAGATACGAGGGCTTGAAGCCACCTGCAAAGCAACGGCTACCGTACAGGGTAGTTGTTCGCGTGGCTTGGGAAGTCCTCGGAAGTTGCACCACTTATAACCATTACACAGATAATAACACTGGCTGTTGTAGCACTCACTTTTTTCACATTGTGCCTCCAAGTATAATACAATCACGAGTTGTGATAGCTGTAGCTTTATGTCTTGCTAGAATTAATACGATTTTTCCCACACGCCTTCTAATCCTTGGATAGGCTTTGGATAGGCTAATCGAATTAAGTTAATTTGTGTTTCGCACAGTACTTCAATAGGGAACCATTGGTTCAACGACACGAAATTACAGGTTTTACGGCATATAGATCTTCAACTGTACATATGACCCTAATGTGGATTCTCAGTACCAGATTGTGGTAGATATTTTCACTTAGTATCACGTGGTGATCAAACAAATTCAAAGGTATCAACATTAAAGAAGATTAGCCGTCGTCCTCAATCATCACAAGGTTCCACACACAATGATCTACATCCAACTGATTAGGATATTTCGGTCACCAGCTCATCAACAGTGTCATCCGCAATCGATTGAGGGCATTTTATAAAACCGTCATCCTTCTTCTACCAATTCTACTTCCAGACAAATTGATGAACGAGAAGGAGAAGTACAAAGCAATCTGCGACGACCTGGATTCCACCTTCGCCGAACTTACCGGATACTAATTTCTCAAAACAGCTACTACTATTGCTAGCTACCACTACTACTACTGCTGCTATTACTACTACAACCATCACCACAGCTTGCCTATTCTATACCACCATAAAGAGACAGCTCAAATCCAAGGAGAAGCGCTTCGGTTCGATCCATTCCTTTCTCTCTCTGTCTGTCTAAATGTCCGTTGCCATCCAAATGTGGCAACTTTCACTCAGTGGGACCGATATAAACAGTCACAACCGAGTGTATATCTGGTCCCATTTTTTTAGCTTGAAAATGTGATCCACTGAGAATCAGATGTTGTAATGATTTTTGGAGAGAAAGTGATTATGGTTCTGTTTAATAGGTACCGTCTATTGGATTTTTTAAAAAAGTTTTTCGTTTTTTGTTTCGTTTTTCAAATGTTTCTGGTCCAATCGTTGTACAAAGTAACAGCAACAGGAACTCCTTTTGTACATGTGGTATCATGATTTTTTTTGTGTCTGTAAGCGTACATTATCGTGCATGTCATCTGATGTTTTCTGTTTTGTTAGAAGAATACTTTAAAGTTGGCGTTCTAAAAAAAGATTTTTTTGAAGGATCGAACTTGAGTTATTGTATTTTTGCAGAATAATCGGTCTTTGAACATGTAGCCTGAAAATCTTCAAATAAAAATCGATCTATAAACAAAAGTGTCTCAAACCTAAAGGTTATCAATACATCATACATTTATGTATTGATAAACAGCTATTAATTTTTGTTGGCAGTCAAATTCAATAAGTAATAAGCAATAATAATGAATGTAAGGTATTTTTTTTCACAATTTTTTTAGCCTATTATGAAAGCGGTTAAATTAAGCTTTCATGTGGTGGGTGTGATATAGATTTTTATAAATAAGCCTAACCTATACAATAATCTGCGTTTATATGTTGGGTATTGTAGGTTTCAAGATTGTGTAATGAAATCCGACCTTAAAGATTTAATGGAAGTTACTATTTGTAAAACAATTTGATAGTTTAATTGTTAACAAGAATCACGGTTCCGGATGCAGATTCGACTTATCATTACTTTTGCATGCATAGTTCACTGACACAATCTTCTGATAAACTTCATATGACAAGCTTTGCTGAACGCAGGCCCCGATTCGATGGAAAACGGTTCGACAATACATTCCATTCTTTCACTATGTACCCCATTTCTACGGTTGCCGTCTATATATATTTGGTGTTTTCTACATATTTTGATCTAGACTTTTGATTTGACTGAAATTTTCTGAATGGAATTCATTGACATCATTTCAGAACATTTTAGTCAAAATTGTCTTCGTCTTCTCAACCAAATCATTTCAGTAGTTTCTACTCAGCAATCAACGGCCATTTGTGGATATTCACCCCGTAGTTTTTGCTTTTAACCTCACCCGTATTGCTTTTTGTCTCACTTAGTTTTGCTTTGGGTAATGCTTATAGTTTTATTTTTGTTTTTTTTTAATTCCACAATGACTAATATCAATTTTACAGGACAATATTCGTTCATCGGTTTTTACATTTCTGTAAATCGATCATTTTCAGGAATTTTGATTTTTTTTTGATCGAATGGTGTTAAAAGAGCTGACACCATTCTTGTTTTTCCGTTATTATGTTTTAGAATACACCTTGTACCGAGAGTAAATCCCTAACGCAGATATTTTCCCTTATTTCCACAATTTCCCCCTACAGACGAATTGGGCGTCAACAAGGACAGATACAAGTCCCTGGCCGACGAGATGGATTCCACCTTCGCCGAGCTGGCCGGCTACTAGGAGACATAAACGTTTCTACGTACTGCTTAATCTATATAAACAACTACTTGTATCATATATTTGAAATACTTACACTTACATCCAACGGTTTGATTTAGAACTTTTCCTCGTGGTCCCACTGTGAGCAAGTTAGAAGCAAGTCAGTGTTTTCAAATGCACTAAACGATTGCACCACCACCACCTTAAGTTATCGTAGGTAGCAGCGAACGAAGAACAACAGAGAGAAAATGAAACTAACGCTCCGAAACTCCTCTTCTGAAATTAACCGACATCAGAACATCCGATCATATTTTATTTTTTTGTTAAAAAAGCAAGCAGCTTAGAAATTCATGTTTTATCATAGGCAAATATTAGGAGATAATTTACTAGATCATTTGATTAGTGAGTAAGAGATCATCATTCTTTCTAATTAAGATTAAACAGAACCGTATTGTTGTTGTTGTAGCCAGAACCAAAAATTCATGGTCAAAAGCGAAAGGTAAAATTGAGAACCATTTAGTATAGGTTATATTGTAACAAACATAAGTTTTAGCACCCTACTGTTGGAAGATTTGTCTAGGAAAATATATACAACTGACGGAGCCAGAAACGGAAACAATCAAGCAAAAATCCAGAAAAGTGTTGGTGTTGAGTAACGTGCTGGAACACCACAGCCAATCGTCGAAACTCATAACGGAAGTCATGTATTATTTCTATCTTTTAATAAAAAAAAAATGTTAAAACTAAACTCCCAAACATCTACGCTCGATGGTAAATCTCTGCTCTGATTCGGTTCGTGTGTCTTCGGTGCATGCGAGAGCCGAGTTGTACTAGAATTCTCTATTTCTCTATTTTTATTAGAAGAAATCGAAAACCTATTTATTGTAATGCTAAGTTTTGATTTATTTTGTATAATAAACGTTTAATTAATAGCTAAGGTAGCCGGAGTGGGGTTCTTTCTCCTGTGAGTGGACGATCTGCGGAGTGCGTCAATAAGATTGCCTGTGATTGATAATTTATGCGATAAAATCTCGATGAACATTTCAATTGGTCCTATCTGCTTTGAACGATTCTCTTCATCGACTTTCTCTTTTGATAACCACTGCTAAGCAAACAGATTTCACGCTAATTTTACCACATAGTTTCATGAAGGAGGTTCTTATCTAGCATTCAAAACGTCACGTACAAAAGGGAAAGGTTTTGCAGCTGAATTATTAACGAAAGAGAAAGTCGATGAAGAGAATCGATCAATGCAGATAGGACCTTTTGAAATGTTTATCTAGAAATGTCTCTTTCCTATAAGGGGTGAATCAGCTTTACTCTGAGTTGCTTTTTTGCAGAGTATCTAAATGTACCTCAAAATTTAATTGACGTTCATCGATTTTCGGCTTACTCCCTTTACCGCTTTCACATATTAGGGTACGGCCAGGGTAGACGCAATTCGCGACGCGACGCGACCAATTCAAAATAATCTTATTAATTATTATTATTCCTTGCGTGAGTCGCATCGCGTCGCGAAGCGTGTTGCGTCTACCCTGTCCGTGGCCTTAGGCTCGTTAAGCTTGTTTCACTTTTCAAAAGGTCCTATCTAGATTGATCGATTCTCTTCATCGAATTTCTTTTTGGATCGCCACGGCCGTGTTAAGATATTTCCGGAAGCAGCAAAAATCTAGCATCTAATACGACAAAGACGACATGAAACGTTTTTGAAGCGGAGTTATTTACGGAAGAGCGAGTCGATATAGAGAATCGATCAATGTAGAGTGGTCTATTTGAAAAGTGACGCGAGAATTCATCAGATCGGCTATTGAAACGATGTGAATTACAGAATTTATCCAGAAAACGGCTCGAACGATGCTGGGAAAGCTTATAAAGGGGGCCTTTGTTACCAGTGCATTGGCGTGGATTTTCATCTGCTTCTCTGTGCCGATTGGTTGCTGCTGTTGTTACTGTTTTGGAAATTCAATTTGGCAACCCGGATTCCTTCCGTTTGGAGTTTACCAAATGACCAAAAACTTTTCAGGTTCGTGCGAAGATTCGCTCCCGTGCGTCTCACATGATGATTATATTTTCGATAGCTTGCGATGACTTGCGAAATTGAACAGCCGTTTGTAGTACGGTGAACGAGAGTTGCTGTACTTTCGGAGGGCGGCTGAGCGTTGACGCTTTAACGCGCGAAGGTGTTGGTTCGACCACGGAGGCTTTTTCGGGGGTCGTTGTACTGGGATAATGCGAAAAATAGCATCTTCCAGCACAGTAATGAAAAAATCCATCATCATTGACACTAGCGGTCGATTCGATAAATTGCCAATCAATGTATAAAAAATCGGAGTAGGTAACCTGAATGACACAACGAGAGCGGGATTCCCAACAAACAATTTAAGTTGATCAAAAGCTGAATAAGCCATTTTTTAGCTGAAGAAGCTTATTTTTGCCTGAATAAGCTCTTATTCAACATGCAATGTTTGTTGGGTTGTCAGCATATAGACCGATCAGTGACCAGACGAAAGAAGTAGAAATGCCCGGTAATGCGGAATCATTTGCCAGGACAAGATCTAGTGAATGACCGTTTCTGTTGGGAAAAGTGTTTAATAGAGTAAACCTGTGTAAGTTATATCCGTCCAATACAGTACACCAAACAACCGGCATATTGATAGCAGTGGGTCAATGCATGGTGTGCCGTTGTCGGTGAAGCACCACTGCAAACCAACTTGGTTGTAGTTGCCAAATAGGAGAACATGAGAGCGGGGACTCACATGCTCACGATGATGTCAGTCGTGCAGTCGTTTTTTGAGTCGGGATGTATAAACAGACAGCGCATATAATGAGGATGTTTTGAGGAAATTCCACGACAATCCAGAGCTGTTTCAGTAGACTGGAAATGGGCGAGGTACTTAGGTAGCCTGTTAGTCTCGTTGAGACAGGGGAGATCGGTTAGTTCTGAAAACGGAATAAAGTTATCCGAAATCAGCCTACGCAACAGCCAAGAAACACGAGCCAACAACTTCATCCCACGCACGTTTTGATAATAAATCCGAAGGCCATTTGAGGAGCGATCCTGGGAGCTGGAAACCGAAGGAAATAAGGATACCACAAGTTCAGAATCACAATCATACTCGCCTGGAGTTGCAGGCCGAAAGCCCCCCATTTGTTATTGTTGATTTGATTTTTGGCTTCGCACCTCCATATGTTGCTGTTATGTGAAAATTGAGAAAGCAAATGGCAGTGATCTTGCTCACTGAGCAATGTGAGTTGCTCAAGGTGCCTCAAAAGCAACTCTGAAATTGCCCATGGTTAGGAACTGTCTTGCCTTTTGTTGAGAACTGGATGCAAGGATTGAAACTATAGGCACAAAGGCCACCACGGCAGTGTCTAGAATCATGCCGAACAACTCTGGGCCAAGTCGTAGCAAGAGGCGTCTTCTTCACCGATACTTATGTACGGAGGTTCAGCCTGGGTTGCAGCGCTGGAAACCAAGTGGAATCGAGTGATGCTGAACAGAACATTCAGGCTCATGGCCAATACTAGCAGGAATCTGCACGGCTGAGACTGGTAGATGGATTCATGTGCAGTGTATCTCAAAATTGATCGTTGATGCAGTGAGAAGGGAGTTGCCTACCATTAGCGGAGTGATCATCAATAGGGAGAATATCGTACAAGAAATTTGTAGAGACAAGTTCATGAAAAAATGGGACATCTAGCAAACCGTGACAAATGTTGCTCTGTAGTTCGGACCTCAAGGAATGTGTATAAATTTTAAAAGATTGAGTTCTCATCGGCAAATCCTTTGCCTTGAAACGGATGCTTTGATTCGAATCTATTCGATAGGTTTTATCGTTATATAGAAATCGTTAAAAACGCACCGTGTAAAATGCGACTAACGCCGTTGAGTGTAAAAAAAAAAAACGTGTAAAAAACCACGTAACAAAACCGTGTAAAAAGACTTGAGTGTATATTAATGGTTCCGACGTGTACGGATAAATAATACGATTGGTACGATCAGTTTGTTCAATAGCTACTAAACAGTAGCGATAAGAAAAACATATTTTCATCCATTCTTCTCAAAAACAAAGGAATCGCTCGTAGCGAATCCATTTATTTCTGTTCTCATCCGTATGCCGCAGTGAATCAAATGTCATTTCGATTGGTGTTTGGACAGAATTGAAACTCGTATTGCGGAATTGGAATCAAAAGGTAATGCAATATTTTTCACAATAGCTCAACAAGTTGTGAATCTTTATCAAATCCAAAATGTATGAGTAATTTTTGTTTGAACCATTCCATGTTTTGTACCTATTGTCGCCGGCGCCGGTGGTGTAGTGGTAAGCGTGACTGTTTTCTTACCCCAATGGGTATGGGCCCAATCCCAGCCGAGGTCGGTGGGATTTTTCTGAGGCATAAAAATCTCTGGTCATGTCTTTCTTGGAAAGGGAAGTAAAGCCGTTGGTCCCGGCCCATGTGTGCGATATCCTACGCAGGTGTGGACGCCTTCCTGCACATTTGATTGCCGTCAATGGATGGCAATCAATGTCCGTCGGTGATTGGCACTAAATTGCGGAACAGAGACCGACGTTAAAGAAAGGAAAGAAGAAGAAGTGACTATTGTCGGCAACCTCTTTTTCTACAGCACCCCTTCCATTTGAACTGCGTGTTTAGCAGCTGACGGATTTCACGCCAACTCATCCAGTGGTTGGCAGCACCCTCTCAGAACCTTATGGAACTTTGTGGGTGTGGAGACTTAGCAATTTTAAGCAACTTTGCGTACTTATTTTTTTCAAAATTTATCTCGCCTAACATTTGATAAGGGTCAAAGTTTTTTGTCGATTTTTTTTTTTCAAATCGATATAGCTTAAAAATGACAAGCCCTACAAAAAAGTGATGTATGGCGAACTTTTAGCAAATAATCTGAAATTTTATAAAAAAATTTAAATAAAATAAAAAATCGGTTTCTACACTCTAAAAAAATATATTTAAAAATTAAAAGTCATTTTCCCAAAAATGGTACCCCTCAGATTTGCTTGATATTTTTTTTCATGAAAGGCAATATAATCAACCGGTGAACACTCGTGTTTATTTCAGTTACCATGGAGACGTAATTTGTGATTAGCCCCGGTCCCTTTCAAATTGTATCATTATTTATGAACGGCCTTATATTTGAAATGACGTTTCACATTCATCTAGTGATGTCCGATTTTCATTCGAATAATCGTTTAATCGATTAACGAACCGAAAAGTAAACTATTTATAATCGGTTAGATCTTGCCGATATAAGCATTAACATCTCCACAGGATCATCACCGATCGTTTCAAACATGTGCTGCACTCTCATTGGTGGAAAAATGGCAGCACAGCGAACAAAAAAATAATCGATTAGTTGTCAATCGAGTAATTAAAAAATGGGACATCTCTGATTTTGGTGTGATTGTTTTGATAAAAATGAGCGCAAAATTTCATCTCTTCCGAGGGGGCAGCAAAACCACAAAATTACCTTGAATACGGGGGGTTCTCCTTGGATGAAAGGGACCGTGAAAGAAGACACTAAAATAGAAAGTTTTTCTTCCGACAGTTTCATCTTAGTATTCATCTTTGATATAATTACCTAACTTTTCTTCATACATCGCAAAGTGGGCGCTTTTAAGGAAAAAAAGTTGTTCGAACAACAACTTTTTCATGTTAATTTTTTTTTAGCGTGTTTCACTCAAAGTCGAATAGTAATACGCGCACAACCTTATTAAAATTCGAT